ATGATTAGAAGCCTGTTACATTGTGAACTCTGCCTCTTCCTGTGACATTTGTGACAAAGCACTCATAGCTTAGTTAATAACTGACTCACAGGTGCCCACAGAGTACAGAGAGCTGGGCATCAATACTGCCCTAGTGGAAATTCTCCCTTAAGTCACTTACATTTCACAAAAGGCTGGAAGTCCTCTTGCTCTTCTAAACCACGCTCGCTCTAGAGGAGAAGCCTCCACGAGAACTTTCCCAGCATCTGTGTGGACTCGGCTGCTCTCTGACCTGCTCCATCAGCTCCCCACTTGCTCTCTGGTGACCGCTCTGTGATGAAGCCCCCTCACCCTCTGGAACTAGTGAGTCAGCATCCAGCTCTCCCAGCAGAGCTGGAGACACTCAAGAGCAAGGGATCCCTCTGGCCATGGCTGGCTGTGACACAGGGCTGGGGGCAGCTCTGCCTGGCTCAAAACCCCTCAACACACGGCGCTCCAGGGACCCCAGACCTCCTGTCTCCACACACCATGCACCTGTCTGTCAGCACACAGGTGGGCCATGGGCTGTGCCTCACCTGGCCCTGCCCTGTCTGTGCACGAAGGTCACTCCTGTTTGTTCAGCCGACTTCGTGCCACTCTGGGATTGCAAGCACATCTTCTCTGGGACAGGGCGTGCCCCGCCTTCCGCCGATCTTCTCCCTCACCACTAGCATAAAATGTGGCCTTCCCACCTACGACACTCTTATCAGACGCTAGCCATTCCTTCCATTTCACTCCCACTGTTTAAATCATGTGATACCTGCCTCCTAATTGGTCTGATGTGGATGCATGTAGTTCAAACTTTCTAAGTGGTAACTGTCCACAGAAGAGAGAAAGAGCCAATGCTCTAGAGACACAACAGGACTAGGCTTTTCGGTACTCAGCTGCCATATATGTACACACCAAACAGACTGGTGAACACAAACTAATAAACCATATACTCCACCTGACTGCAAAATCAGCTTTTACAACACATTTATTGTATACATAAATAAAAAGAGGACATACGAGTTATTACTTTCTTAGTACAAAGCAGGGCCAAACCGAATAAAATATACCTGAAAAGGAGCTTTGAAAAGCATTAAAACATCGAATATTTATGCTCACAAGTTAAGTTATAAAGAATAATATACTTTCTTCTCCAACAGCATCATGCAAATTTAAGTATAATACTTGGTAACCAGTAAACTCCTTAGTACTAAGACAATAATCGATCTTTTTAAAATTTTTAAAAAAATTTTTCAGAACTACGAATTGAACTCAGGGCTTTGAGCTTGCCAGACCAGCATCATGCTGCTGAACTATCTTCTCAGCCCTGTTTTAACACCGTATTTGCCCTTATTGAAAGAAAGAATTTTCTCCTGTCTCAAATGGTCCCCAAATAAAAGATACAAGACAAGGTACAATGGGAAACGAAAATGACTCCTTAGCATAGGTTCTCAGGCTCTGGGAGGACAAATGACTTGGGGATTCTTTTCTTAACCGTACACCATGCAAAAGTGCCATGAAACACTGATTCACTCTGCAGAAAATCAGAATGGCAATTCAGGAAACTCCACCCAACAGAGGGCCATTTGGTGCAGCTGGCTGAGTTTTCAGAAATGGGTGAAATGCTGGATTAAACAGCTCTATCTTCACCAACACCGAAAATGCTCTGCTTGCTAAAATGATGCATTTCCGGAGAGGCCGGGAGATGGCCATCTCTCGAGGCAGACACCACCTGCCTCCAGACTGCTGTATCACCAACTTGGCATTCGCTTCCCACTTCCTGCTTCCAGCCTCGCAGCACAGAACTGTTTACACACCGGGGTGCCCTAGAGAACTGCTCCTGGAGAACGGGGCCCCGGAACGCCTTCCTCTGTGAGCTCTGACTGGGAAGGGCTGCCTGTCCCCAAGTCTGAATGCTGCAGTCTCTTTAGCTAAGGTGGTAACTGCTCCCAGGTCGCTGGGCTAGAAAGCCTGTCAGCACTCAGTTTCTTCTTTATGACTGCAATGCCGGATAGTAAGTATTATTAGGCTTGTGACACAGGACATCCAGCGAGGAAGGCTGCAGCTGGTGACACCTCTGCCTCCTGGCCCGCAGTCCTCACCCCCGCAACCCATTTTGGTTAGCTGGGCTGTAGCTTGGCACACTCCGTTGAAGCCTGGTTCACTGCAAAGCCAGGACAGCAAGGAAGGGAGGAGTCAATCTGGGCTGGGTAGCAGCAGAGGCAATGCAAAAACTGCAGGGTTATCAGCCCTGGTACTGATCTCACAGTGAGTCACTGAGCCAACTGTGGACTCACAGTGGACTCGCTTCACTGTGCCTTTCCCTGGCCCCAAATCTTTTTTTTGAACCTGGTGACAGAGTTCGTAAGAATGGACTGGCAGGGAGAAAAATGAGAGAACTTACAGTTTAGTATTAAGAAACTAAGTCTCGGTCAAGTTCTTCCCCCATCTCCGAACGTTAAATACTACACAGGTGTGGTTATTCACTAGCAGAACAAAGAGCGAGCCAGAGCTGCAGGATGAGTAGTGGTGCGCAACGCCCAGGGCTGGCATCTCTCGGGCGTTCAGGAATGCTTCAAACCATTCTCTCATTTCAGGGTTGACTCCCAAACGAAAAAACAAAAACAAAACATTCCTCTCCTTAATGAATGCTGTTACTGTCCAGTTTCTTTAAAGGACAAAACAACATAGGTTTCTCCCCAAAATTATTTTCTCTAGGACGACAGCCAAAAGAAAATGGTTAAAAATTCTGGGCAAGGAAAAGAGTAATTTTCCAATTATATGTACAACCTTCTGTTTTAATCTTTGGCAATGATACAAGAAAGGAACTTTTTAAAGGCAGATTAGCCACACATTCTTATGAGCTCAAATGAGTTTTACACATACAGAGAGAACTAGGACTAAATCCTATTAATATTCATCACTGTCCTCCAGATTGCAGATAGTATCAGTGTGCTTCATTAAATCCTTTGGAAAAAAAAAAAGAAAAAACATAAAACTGCCACTGCGCCTTTGTTCACAGATATGGACCAATACAACAGGGACACTGGAGACTCGACATGGAGAAAGGTGTCACATTGTATGACATTGTATGATGACCCACAATATTATCATTTTGTTTTTCTCTGCAAAATGGACCTCCTTTTTCATCACAAAAATGCTTTAAGCCAGAGGGGCAGAAAGGAAAACGAGAAAAGCTTTTACCTTGGCAACAGTATTAGAAAACCATATTCCCAAAGACATTCATATTTCCTGTGAATATTACAAACGAAGGCAAGCTTTTGCCAAAAGCTAAAAAAAAAAAAAAAAAAAAAGTTATCTATTTCTCCAGTGTAAATTCAAATAAAGAGGGTGGTTGGACAGTACTGCCCACTAGAAATATAATGCAAGCCATCTATGTCATCTTAAACGTTCTAGGGAGACTTAATAAAAGGAAAAGGTAAAAAGTTCAACATTTAACATATGCAAAGCATTATCATTTCACTATGTAATCAATATAAAAACTCTCTAATGAGTCTTTTAAATAATTTTTTATACTCACTACACCTGTAAAACGTGGGATATGAAACATCACAGATTCACTGTGGCTCACCTCAGGTGCCCAGAGCCGCCCATGGACTGCCAGTACTGTGCAGACAGGGCTGCGCTGTGCTGCAGCTTTTGGCTCTGTCACACGGTGGAGACAGCCGTGTTGCAGCCTTCCCAGGAGAGAGGCAAGGGTATCAGTACAGAAGCAAGTGTGATACATCAGCGTGCCCACAAAAGGTCTATCCAATTTAAGAAAAATCAAGTTCCCAGTTAATATCCTTCAAATACTAGTGTTCTCTGCCTACTAGAAACACCCCAAAAGTTAGCAGGAGCCACAGGCGGGAGGTGCCAGGCTGGTTGCTCGTTCCTGCTCCGCAGTCAGTTCACGCACACGCCAGCTTGCTTGAGGCTGCCCAGACAGTCTAGGTTATGCTCAGCATCAGAGCAATCTACCTCACTCAACCTAAGGACGAGTGAGGTTCAATACATTGTCTTATGACCTAGAGAAATAACTGGTTCATGTTCTCTTAAGTATGACATCATTTTGACCTACTGTCATAAGGCTGCTATACGTTGACATACTAAGGAAATATGTATCTATAGACATGAAGTCTACATATGAAGTTCTCCTTTTGGTGAAATCCTGCAGCAGAAAACCAAACCGTAACATAAAGGGTATTAACTTCTTGCCGAACAACTGTAACCGCAGAGCTTTAAAAGAGCCTCAGAATTAGAGCCCCCTCAAAGCAGGTGAACTCTGAGGCACCTCTCGGCCCACATGCCAACTGCCAAAAATCAGGGCACAAAAGGAACACAGAACACATGCACTTCACTTTACGCAAATGGAATGAACACCTGCATGCTTTTCGGCGTCCTGGAAACAGTTTCAGAAGCTTTCTCCTTCAATCTGGTTTCTCCTGAACAGCTAAACTTGAGGTTGGTGTACTGCTCAGGGGCAGAGCAGAGCTCACGTGTGCAAGGTCACTGCTTTGACCCCAATGTTGCAATAATTAGATGCATGTATACATGAAATAAGGAAATAAAAAATTAAATTAGGGCCAACCAGATAGCTCAGCAGACTAACGTGCCTGCTTAGGCAGGCTCAGTGACTGGGGTTTGATCCCTGGTGTGCTGTGCCAGCCCCCCCCCCCCACCAGGACAGGCCGAGACGGTGAATGAGACTGGGCGTGGTGGTGCATACTTGCAATCCCAGTGCTTGGGAAGCTGAAAACAGGAGGATCACTATGAATCCGATCTCTGTAGTGAGACCCTGCACTAAAACACACACAAAAAAATCAGTATTGGCCAATAAAGTATAAATAAATTTTAAACTTATCTATTTCAAACAAACATGCAATTCATTAATTAGTAACTGAGGACGCGAAAAATTATGATATATTTATATAATGGAAAAATATTGAGCAGTGAAAACTCACACTGCTTTGAACATAAAAAGTGACAAAAAATCTGGTTTAATTTCGTTTATTATCCTTCAGCATACGTACATGGAAGCAGAGTGACAAAGGACAGGAAAGCTACAGTGGGCACGAGAGGACTCTGAGGGGACAAGCAGGGACAGCACAGTGCTCAGAGGAAAGGCATAGTGGGCGGCAGGCACACGTGGGATCTGTTGGTTACGATTATTCCTCACACGTTAGCACACACTCAATATAACACATATGAATGCTTTTGTAGATAGGTGAAATTTTAAAACCTGGGATGGTTTTAAGAGCAGGAGCAACAGAAAAGTCATAGACACCACCTGAGACGCGGTCCTGCGGCCAGGAGGGCTCTTCCGCTAACCTCTGCTGGCGCTGCTGTTGCTGTGTTCACTTCTCTCACCACTGAGGGAGGACACTTCTGCCCTGCTCTGAGCACCACCACATTCCGGGGGCTCAGTGTGTGCAGAGTAAGGACAACCACACTGACAGGACAGGCGTCTCCAGGCCTAGGAAGGCTCTGGAAACCCGGGTCACAAGCAGGCAGCGACCACTTTGCTTCTCTGGGATTGTGATTTGGGGCATTTCTGCAAATGTAGTTTCTCCCTTTGAACCTTTTCTTTACCTTCCTCTCTCTGAGGGTTTAAAGTCTGAAATAGCACAGTGATGAGATCAGCCTCCACGCTCCCTTTAAAGATGTTTCCTTCTGCTTCCAGAGGTAGCAGCTTCCTTTAAGGGAACCCGCCGGTGGAGTCATGGCCACCTGACCTTGTTTTTGCAAGCAGTCAAGTGACCCCCGCAGGCACATCTGCACCGCGACCATCGGGGCCATCACTGCGCTGGACACCCACTGCATCCTTGGCCCCATGATGCACGTGAGGCGCTGCGGTGGTCACTTAATTCTTGGGCTTTTACCAAGGAATCTGCATTTTTCATGCAGGGGCTCATGGAGGGGCGCAGCTTCCCAACTGAACAGAAAGTCAGTTGAACCGAGAACTAGCGCTAAGGGCGGTCTGAGATGGCAGGGAGTGGGCCCCACTCCTGGACTGGCATCTTCTGGAATCTCCTCGTCTCTCATGCTGAACATAAAGTCTCACCAATGCCTTGGAGACAAACACATACAAGCCGAACTCTAAAAACAGTAATTATGCAGACAGAAGTAGATGCTGACATTTAAGAAAAGCTGTTAAACAAAGCACAACTCCACCATAAAATCAAACAATGAAATGAAACAGGAAGACCTTTGGTACCTTTCAATAATCAAAAACATGTTTAGTTCATCATTAAATTCATGTAGTATAAAAACATCTAGGTTAGAGTGTTGAATTAAATCTATAAAATAGAAACAAATCTAAAATATAGTAAAGCCTAGGGGCAAAATATCTTCTTTTTCTTCCCTTTGACTGTAATAAAATACCAGAATTTAAAGTATTTTTCCAACCGATTTTCTCCTTGACTGCACACACCTCGCCGGATAGCACTCTATATTTTATCTACTTTGAAAATGGCACACTTTGATTTTTAGCATCATGCTTTCTTTGTCTCAAAAAGCTTACTGCAGGAGATCAAGATTCTGTCCAGAAATGCCCTTGATATTACATGTCTGCCTCCAAATCCACTTCTTTTCTAGGTTTTTTTTTTTTTTTTTTTGCTAGGTTTTTAAGACTGTGATTATCAAAATCTAAATAAAGGCAGCTAGTTAAAAGCATCAGAAAATCATTATTGTGTGCTTGGAATCGGCTGGTAGAAGAATGCGCATAAGGACACAGTATTCTGTGCACACGGCGTGGTCCCACGGGGCAGCGCTTCGGGACTGTGCAGGGCCTGGCCACCATGCGAAGAGCCACACACTGCGCTTCTCTTCCACCACAACAAGTACAGGAAGCACTGAATGTGCTCTCTTGTAATTCTCTGATGATCCCAAAACAAACAAAAACTTGTGACAAGAAGATATGTAAAAGCTGTGTTTTAGCACTGGTATCCATCTGGCATGCTTAATGCAATCCTACTAGGTATATTGTGGTTAATTCAAAAGTCATTCAGGAAAGTCGGTTCCCTTCATCTGGTGGTGAGGATGGCACTGATCCTATGACCCCGAAACCTGCAAAGCTTTCTTCTTACCAAATCGGCCCTTGGTATGCACTGGTACGAGCAGGATAAATGCAAGGTGCATAATCACAACAAAACAATTTTTAGAACTGCTGAATTTTTAAAAAGAAACTAATTATTATCGGAAGACACACACTCAAACACAATATCCAGTTAGGAAAAAACACTCCTGGATAGTCCCTGGGATTTATCACATGGAATTTGACCTGGATCACGTTTTAACACTAACTAATAAGGAACAGCCATGATTTGAGCAAAACATTTCCTGGGAGAGAAACTGCCCATGCTAGCTGCCCCGAAGCACCCGGCCACGCTCTCCTGACTGCAATCTGGACTGTGCTGGGGCTCCAGCTGCAGCTGTCTGGAGTTCTATGGAGCAGCCCACTCCAGGAGGCCTGGGGGAGGTGGGAGGGGCTTTCATTCCTCCGCTCTCAGAAGTGTCCTTCCCACACCGTAATGGAAGGCCTAGCACCAGGATGGGTGGACAAGCTGAGTGCTGGAGTCCACCCTCTGAGCGTTTCTCCAAGCCAAGGAGGCTCCCTTGTTTGGCAATTCCCAACTTGCAAAACCGTAAGGATACAGAAAAGCAGTCTCTGCCCTACCTCGTAGGCGTGGTCAGCGTCATCAGCACCCCATGCAACTGGGGAGCTGGCTCACCACGCAGTCCAGGGTGGCTTTGTGGGCAGCCCTTCCGCACCCCGCTGCCTGGGCACGCTCTACCCGCATAGGGAGCAGAATGCGCATCCGCGTCATGCGGGAAGGTCCAAGCCCATGTTCTGGGAAAACATGAGCCATGCAGAGGAGCAAGGAAAGTGTCCAGGGAAGCCACTGGACAGCAACGTTAGCTTATTTTAGTGTGCTCAGCAGGGGTTCATAAGCTACATCTAACTGAGGTCTTACTTTCTCAAAAAAAATAGAGTCCCCGCCCAAAATAGAACAAGCAGCCGCTAGGGGAACTGCATTTTAAAAATATATGTGACTTGCATATATATAAATCGCTCCAGCTGAAGCTGCCTTCGGACCCTGCTCTGACAGTTCTCCTATAAATTTACTCTCTAATCTGTGCACCTCTTAAAATATATCTTTCAGGCAGTCTTGCGCGTTTAGGTGAAACTTTCCCCTTGCGAGAGATAAAGAAGCCGATATTTTCCAAACTAGCAATTACTTCCATTTCTGTGAGTTAGTGGCAATGATTTTATATTACAACAGTGACTTTTGGAGATATGTGAGAGTTCAGAGGATCACACAGACAGGGCTGCCAATGAAAACAAGCAGAATCTAGAACGACAGCCGCTGTCACAAGGCACCGCAAGAGCGACGTCTATGGTTCTGCACAGAGACCTTCAAGGGTCTTTTCCAGCCAGCACCGTCTTTCCTTCTCTCCAGATCCTGACAGCTGGGCAGAGAGCGTTACGGATGCAACCCAGGAAGCTCACAAAGCAGCGAGCTGACAACAGTTATGTGCGACAACCCCACAGGTCCAGCATCTTCTCCCCGACGGTGCCCCTGCTCGTGTGTCAGACTAAAAGAAGCACACCTACAGCAGGTGCCAGGACTGTCAGGCGCAGCCGCTGCAGGGCAGTGAAAAGAAGAACCCCAGTCCCAAAGCCAGCTCAGTCCCGATTTGGTTTATGGCAGTCACGTAGTTCCCATCACACCCACATCTCCCAAGACACCGCTTCCGTGGCAAGCAAAGTTACTGATGGTGTGTGTGGCTCTGGTCACAGTGAGGTGCTAGGTGTAAGCAGTGCGTGCGGCGTTCCCGGAGGTGGTGGTCCAAGCACATCTCCAGCACCTCCCACTTTTCCCCTCTACGGTTCTGCCTGTCAAAAGAAAAAAGGCACCATTTATTGGATTGAACTGCATAAGAAAGCTTTCCCTTGGCAGGGACTTCTTTAAATGTCAGGAGTATACATGTTGGAAATCATAACACGTCATCACTCTATGAGTAGTAAGTGCACATCCGGGGTTTTAGGATCAGAGCCCAGATCTATATCCTACCCGTCCAACCTGCCACATACAAGCTCTCAGCAGGCTGTGGCCCTCTCCAAAGGTGTCTGCTCGGGGGCAGAAAAGTGTTGTCACACTGAGGGTCTGCTTCGTGCAGACCACAGGTGAGAGCACACTGGTGTAGACACGTCTCTTGGCAAAGTCACTGTCCCTCTGCTGCTCCGGCTCCCCTCATGTGCCATCACTGAACTGCTGGGACCTGGTTGGGGGCCCCGTGCTCACCCCAGCCCTGGCTGACCAGAGTGCAGGTTTGCCAGATGTTACACATTTTGAGTATCATTGCTACGTGATATTCAAAACTGATACTGAAAACAGGGACTTGGCTGCAACAGGCTCTGCCTGTTGAGAAGTACTGGTGAGAAGGCTTCCTCCGCAGGGGTTAGGTATGCCCCAGGGGGAGAACAGCCTAGCTCAAGGCACACCGGAGGTAAGCGCTCCCCTGCCTGGAGTGTCCACACCTCCTGTCTTCACTGTCTAAATATTACAATGCACTTATACTTTACTTTCAAAGCATCTGGGCAGGTCAAACAATTGGCTTGCAGCCCACCTTCGCACCCTCCCTCCCTCCTCAGTTGTGGGAGGGATTGGGGAGCAATCCAGAGCAGGCCAGTCTGCTCTGTCCTCTTGTGCGTGGGGCCACGAGGGCTCCTTCCCTCAGGTGCAGATCCTCACGATGCCCTCCATGGGCTCTCCCGCCTTGTCCTTCATGGCCCTGTGTCCAGCAGGAGTAGGAAGCTGGCTTCACCTTACAGCACACGACATCTGTGAGTGCTCCGGCACAGCCTCAGACTGACTATACCACGAATCACTATGGAGGTGAAAAAAAGGCAGTCACAGAAGGGGGATGCAGAACTGCTCTTGCAGCTGTCCTCGCTTCTCTCGTATAAAATAAAGCAGAGCTGCCACCAGCCTTTGCGGTCCCCAGTGGTTCTCAGGCCCGGGCAGCACAGAGCCTGAACCACAACCTCTGCCCTGGTCCCAGGGCTGCAGCCCAGGACGCAGGACTCGCCATTTGCCGGGTGATGCTCAGCAGCAGGGATGTGCTGCCCTTCCTGCCTGGGCACAGTCGACAAACATTCAGACAACTCGCTGGCTCCATAGCCAGCTTTCATATTATGTGCACTGCGCAGGTCAGAATGTGCACTTCACAGACCTGCAGACTGCAGTGTGCTGGGTCTGCCGACTCTTGCGTTTTAAGTGTGTACATGGTGTTCTATACAGGCTTTTGGTTTCATAAGGCTTTATTTATTTATTTATTCATTTATTTTTACATTCAAGTTGGGAAATGTTTATTTTATTTTTATTTTTTTGTTGTTGTTTTGGTGGAACCGAGGATTGAACTCAGGCCCTTGTGCTTGCCAGGGAAGCACTTATTCCACTGAGCCATCTTCCCGGTCATAAGGCTTTATTAAAAAATAAAATTTACAAAGCAGCACAGAAAAAAATGGAGAAAAATTACTAAATTTACTATTAAAGGCAAAAAAAAAAAAAAGAAAAAAAACCAACCGTAGCTGGGTACACATAGATATGGACATGCAAGCACTATTTCAGTCACTGCTGTTCCAGGGCCAGTCAACTCAAAACTTAATGATATAAAACGCCCTTTACGGTTATGGTCAGGTTCTCCGACTGAACATAACAAAGCTGACTCGGATGTCACACGGCATGATGGGAACTCACTTTTGTGTTAGCAAAAATTAAAATCTGAGGAAATAGTATGAATTCACAGGCATAAAAATCTACCTGTAGAGGGAAGAAAACATGGGGAGGAGACTTGAGCCGGAGCAGAAGAAACGCTGACGGGACACAGCTCTGCTCGGCCGGACCCACGCAGTGGGGCAGGAGGCAGACTTTCTCCGTCGGGCTGCCGCGGCCAAAGCCTGGTACTTTCCCTGGGCCTTGAGCGCAGGCGGCGGCCAGTGGTTCTGCTCACTGTGGGGGACCCTGCAGAGCAGCCCTGTGGCCGCAGAGCCCCTGGTCCTCGCAGCCAGAGGAGGAGCAGGAGGAGAAGCAGAAGGAGCCTTGCACTGCCTGGCAGGAGGAGAGGGCAGGAAGGGTGCAGCTCGCGCTTGGCGTGGCAAGCAGGACGCGCTCTCTTGGCCAGCGGTGTACGTGCCCTACGTCCTTGCGTCCTTGCTCGGGTACGCACAGAGCTTCAGCTGGGAATGCACTCCCTTCCTGGCTGGTGGAGAGAAAGAATGGGTGGGGAGGGGAGGCCTGACAGCTCCCCACAGAGCGCAGAGGAGGATCTCAGAGGAATCTGCACCTTGGGGAAGCGGACCAGCGTGGGAATCGCATCTTATGAACGGTTTTATGTGCACAATGGTGCCTGCTGGCATCCATTACATATTCCCTACCCTAGCTTCCTACAGGGCTATGAGGATAAATCTGGATTGCTATCTTTGCATAAAAAATGTGACAGAAAATATGCTTAATTCTAACAAGTATCTAAATGGCTTTTTTTTTTTTTTTTAGGACAGGGTCTATAGGGTCCCACTGTATAGATCTGTTTACAGCCTCCCAAGAGCTGGGATTATAGGCGCGCCACCACGCCTAGTCTCAAGTGCCATCTCAGTGCGCCCTGGGGGTGAGGCCCACACCGCAGGCCCAGGGATCGAACCCCCGGCCCCTGTGCCTGCTTGCAGGCGCTTCAATCCGCTAAGCTATTTGGCAGGCCCTAAATGCTCTATTTTTATAAAAAGTTTTAAATACTCTACGTGTGGGTTTTACCTCTAAAACATGCGCAGAAACTACCCTCAAGCATCTGTGGACTCAGATGTGCCGACAGAGCTCAGCTGCACGCCAGCTCGGCGTCCCTGCCCTCCTCCACAGGCGCTCCAGAGGTGCACAGCCTGCATGGCCCCAAGAGTCCAACTGCGGCTGACAGAGACCTAGTGATGCACTTCCACGCCAGCTGTGTTCAAACTAGACGTCAGAAGCCTGCTGCAATTTTAAATACAGTCAAAACCCTTAGTTACCATATATACAGAGTACAGGGAAACATGCAAAACTCCAACGCGGTTAGCTCTGGGCAGTCATTTTTATGTTCTACTTTGTAGTTTTTTTGTATTGTCTTAACTTTTCTAAATGAGCTCAGGCTTTTATAATCTGAAAAAAAAATCCCATTGTTTCTTAAAAAGTAAATCAAGCCATTACTTGACTTAATAAATACCATTTTTATCTTAAAAGCAAATCCATGTGGTTAATAAACTTGTAAAAACAGACATCATTTCTACTTTCTAAGCCTGAACAAAAAACAAATTTGAATCCTTTATGGCTTCCCAAGGACAAAAAAACTTAATAAAGAGGCTTTTAAACTACAGCGCCTGATTTAGGGTACAGCATTTTCCTCAAAGCCGCCTGCCTGCTGCTGCAGACTACCTCCTGCCACCATAAATGAGTTAGACAAGGGAAAGACCCTTCCGATGCGGCTTTGATTCTGCTACTGCGAGGAAGTCAGGCACAACTGTCCTGCAGCTGTGGGTCATCAGACTGCAGGGGCTCACCCCTCCTGGACAAAGCGGCACCATGTCTGGATAGAAACACAGCCGCACATTTCTAGTCACCACTGGATCACTCAGCTGTAGTCTAAGTGCTAAGAGAGTCGGTGCGACAAATAACAAGGAGAAGAAAAATCTGTACATGCTTAGTGTCGGTGCGACTTTAAGAATTTTTTGGGGGGGAACTACCCGCTCGGGCCCCCCTCCTGTCCCTCTCTTGGACAGAAGCTTTCTTTCTCTCAATAAATATATTCTGCTCATAAAAAAAAAAAGAACTTTTGATCCCTGGTTGGTAAACCTATGAACGTGGAGCCCAACAACACAGAAGTGAATTGTGATATGAATCTGCAATTTAAAAAAAAATTATGCTTTGCTGCCTGAAATTCTACTTGGAAAAACAGGCAGAAATTATAAGTAAAGTAATACTGAAATTTATAGCAATGATTTAAAATTAAAAACAGAATCGTTTACTCATTTTTTTTTAATGTATTTAGTACAGGTGTACAGAGTCTCACTGCACAGCTCAGACTCAGAGTAATACGCCTGTTTTCAGCCTCTCAAGTGCTGGGATTACAGGTGTGCACTACCACACCCAGTCTCAACTGCTGTCTCAGAGCACCCTTGGGGTGGGGTTGGTACAGTACCCTGGGGATCAAACCCCAGGCCCCTGTGCCTGCCTAAGCAGATGCTTTAGTCTGCTGAGCTATCTGACCAGCCCTTTCCCTGTATATTTTAATCCTGGCTAGTTCAGAATTATGTATTTGAAAAATAAAAATTAAAAATTGCGCAAATGGTGTCTATGCATCCCTTTGACACCCTCAACTTCAATTCTTAACAATGTAAGATGAATTCTAAACAAAGAATAAGAAAAGAGAAACCTACATTTGATGCCAACCGTGGTTTCAAGCCTAAGAACGAAAGGACTGTGTTGCTCTCCTTTGATTCAAAAAAACTGTCATAATCCTAGAAAAAAAAAGAAAATAAAGCCAATGAACAAGAACAGGCAATCACCTCTATAGTAAGTGCTTCCAACAACCTTCTGTGGGAGTAATACACACACACTGCTCCACCCAGCACACAGCCTCGCACACCTACTGCACCGAATCTGCTAGTGCCTGCAGGTCCCTGGAGGATGAGCAAGGAGGGACAAGTTTAGAGCCCAAAACCCCGAGACAGGACCACACCACACAGCACTGACGGACGGCAGAAATAAAATAGGAGCGCACTTCTCCTGGCGCGCTGAGCTGCCCGGCGCCTGCGGGAATCATTGACCCAGGGCCCTACTCCGGACCTCAGCGTGGGCATCTGCCTCTCAGTTGCACAGTGGTATCTCGCTACCCAGGGCCTCAAACCAACCACCCAGCCTGCAGGATCAAAGGAATGTCTCGGGGTCTCCATGTATCAGTGTGAGTGCTCATGTTCTGCGTTCGAGGTCTTTCACGTGCTTGGAGACTGTCATCAGAGAGAATAAAAAATCAAATAAAATACAAAGATATTCTTTATATTTATCCTTTTTTTTCTTTCTTTTATGTATTTGGTATAGGTTGTCACTACACTTGGACTTGTGATCCTCTTGTTTTCAGCCTCCCCAGAGCTGGGATTACAGCTGTGCACCACTACACCCAGACTGGGTAGCCGGCTCAGCACACTCGGGGGTGGGGCTGGCACAGCATGTGGGGTTAGGGATCGAACCTCCAGTCCCTGCGCTTATCTAAGCAGGCGCTTAGTCCAGTGAGCTTTCTCACTGGCCAAGATTTATCTTTGATTTAGACAGAATCATTTCTCTCTTCCTACTGTTATAAGAGAAGGCATCAAGAAATCGGGCATTGTATTCATTTCTTTTCAAAAGTGTGCATATATACCACACCGTGGCCTAGCTTCTCAGTTGATGTGAACTAGTCTTAAAACGTGGTAATCCTGATAACTGTTCTAGGATAAACAATGTAAGCAGAAGATGACCACTCATTGTTAGGCATTTTGAGGTAGGCATCTTACAAACACAAGGGATTTCACCTTCACCACAGCCACCTACTCAGAGCTCTAGGAAGTGTGATACCCAAGTCTGCCAGCTGAGAAGACTGCTGCAGTCTGGGGCCATGTTTCTGGGTCCAGGAACGTCACCTTTTGTCCTCTTCAGGCCTGGGGGAGCTGGCAGGCTGCAAGGGCAAAGCCCTCAGAAACACACTGCTGAGCTGACCAAAAAGGCTTCCAAAGCAAGTCTAGGAATCTAAGTGAAGCAACGACACACAGGTCTGCTGCTTGCAAAACACTTCTCGGCTGACTAAAACTGCAACACTTGGGACTGCGGACAGAGATTTTTGTCCAAAATCTTCAGCAAGTAAAGTCTCATGATTTTGAAGGCAGCTGCGATATTTTTGGGTCATCTTATTAATCTAAGGTTTCATGCTGGCTGCTGCTTCTGTGACAGGATCAGCCTACCGAGAGGCCTTCCTGGACCACACCAACATGGATGGAGCCACAGGTCTGCGAAGCTGAAATCAGGAGGAGGAGGAGGAGGAGGAGGAGAGCTAGCCACACAAAAGGTTGGGACAGCGTCACCTAGGCAGGCAGCAGCACTGACAGCAATCCACGTGTGCTGGCTTCCTAAGCCAAGAAAAACATTCTGCATCTTATCTCAAGTACCAAAGGAAGCCATGGAGAGGCTTTCCAACAAGGGAGCAAAATGATGGGGTTCCTGCTAAGAAACACCTAGAGGACAATGTGGTGGAGGTTCAGAAACAGGCAGCGAGAGGGAAACACGTGGCTCAGGAGGGCACCATGGGCTTCAGGTGGGGCCTGCACGGCCTGGAGCAGCGCGACGGCTGTGCTGTGCGACGGGCACAAAGCGCTGGAGGCCGATTTCAAAGGCAGAACCGATGCTTGGCTGAATGTGGAGACGAGCGCGAGCCAAGGGTTGGAGCGCCTCTGACAGGATGGCAAAAGCTGGAGAAAGAGGGGACGCGCAGGAGCCTGGAGCTGAGGCGGACTCGCCAGGTCTGAGAAGCTGAATGAGGCGTGCAGGCAAAGATTTCGACCAGGCTGAGGCTCCAGGATATTATGGGTCTCATGGACGTTATTAGGACATCTGTAAGTTTGATCCCTGGTACCACCAAAAAAAAAAAAAAAAAAAAGGATATTGGTAAAGTTTTGCATGACGAAATGTGATCCAACTTCATTACAATAGGTCTCAGTTTGATATATAACACAGGCAAAATCTCATAACTACAAACGCTATATTCTTTGTCACAAAGTTGTTTCCAAAAAGCGGAGTAACCTTCCACTGATCTAGGTTCAAGAGATGATCCTGTTTAAAACATTCTCTCTGACTCACAGCGCTGTGTGGCAAGCAGAGGCGGCAGCCCGGCCACGGCTCGACCGACCCCAGGCCACAGACGTCCCGGTGCGCAGGCGCCCGCGTGCCTCCTGTGCGTGCTCTGCCTCGGCTCTTCTCACACTTCGGCTCCGAGCACCGCTTCCACAGGCAGTGCAGTGGCTGAGTCACAACCCTGATCTTGTGGGGCACCCGGTAGCCTCTCTGAAGGCGCACCCATTTCATGAGCTCTGTAAGGCACACACTAGGGCATCCCCAACTCCTTTCTTCCTCAACTAAAGCACTGCTTAGCCCTGAAAGCTCTCCACCGTTCTGTCTTTCCCACCAGTGCAACCCAAGCTAAAGGTCTAGGACAGGACCCCGTCTCTGAGCCCCGGCCTACCGCGGGACCCCATCTCTGAGCCCCGGCCTACCGCGGGACCCCGTCTCTGAGCCTCGGCCTACCACAGGACCCAGTCTCTGAGCCCTAGCCTATCTCTCTGTGCCTGCTTGGCCCTGCTCTATGAGGACGGGCTGATCTGTGAAACTCATAACTTTGTGCTTCAATTCTTTGCCTCACGACTGTTTGAGGTAAGGCATACAAAGTCCCACCTACCTGGTCTAACTGCCTAATTCGGCAGTGTTGGGGGAAAATGAAGGCCTTATTTTTCCACCTGCACTGCCCACTGGCCGGATGCCCAATCACCCCAGCCAGGGTGGACTGTCCTAACTTCCTAATCTTCCTCTCTGTCAGATCCCACTGGGGTCCTTTGGAACTCCAGACTTCTAAGAAATAATGGTGCTTTCTGGCTGGAGAGACAGCTCAGCAGTCTAAGCCTGGCGCATAAGGCCCCGTGTTCGGTCCCCAGTACTGCATGCCATGCCGGCTCAGAACCCGGGCACCCTGTGCTGGCCACTGAAACTGGGCATGGTGGCACACACCTGTAATCCCAATGCTGGGGAGACTGAGACAGGAAGAGTCGAGCTGTGCAGCAAGACCCTGTACCAAATAAATAAATAAACAGATTTTTTAAAAAAATTAAATAATGGTGCTTTTAGCTAAGAGCTGCTCTTCAATGGACTATAGCTGTGTCAGAGGGTGGAAAGCTCTAGAAATAATAAATAAGAAATAATACAATCTCTACAAAAACAGCATGAATTCTATTTCCAAAGGATCATAGTGATAACATGAAAGTGAGGCAATTTGTAATGAGACAAATTTTATATTTCAAGTTCCAGTATTTACATGTAAAATAATTACCCTAAAAATCTCAAAACTGGCAATAAACTCATATTAAGTTTCACATATATAATAGCTATAAATATATACACTGAGTGGAGACTATGTAACTGTCTCAGTTACTATTGTTGGTGGGACAAAATATCCACCACCCAAAATTTCACGAAGGAAAGGTTTATTTAGCTCCCAGTTAGTGGAGGCTTCAGTCCGTACTCAGCTGGCTCCAAGGCAGAGTGGCGCATGGCAGAGGGCAGCAGCTCGTGGTGGCGACAAAGAGCAAGTGGCCAAGGGAGGAGACAGTGCAGCTTCTGGCAAGCCCCCCTCCCATCCTCCTGTTGTTATGTGGATTGCCTGCCCCAGAAGGGTACAGTGCCCACACCCACAGTAGCCAATGGCAAACTCCAGAAGCCGCCCCATGACTGCATGAGGCTTTGGGGGGCACCTAGATATAAACTGTAACAGTAATGGTATTGTCATGGATTGCATCTAGGTTCCCTCAAAGCCACAGGCGCTTGCTTATAGGTGGAGCTCTGGGAAGGTACATGGATCCTGGGTGTGATATGGGATCCTGTGAGGGAGGAGACCCTGGATTAGCCCAGAGAGGGGGTACAGTCAGTCGTGAAGTCTGCTGGAAGCCGCAGGCGGCTGTGGGTGTGGCCTGGAGACCAATACAGACAGACACACAGCCTTGACACAGAGACAGACACACAGCCTTGACACAGAGACACACACACACACCTCCCTGGATCCTGCCCCGGCCCTGCTTTGGAGCCTGCTGACTGCAGACTGAAACCTCTACACACTGTGAGCTGAAATAAACCTCTCTCCTTTAAGCTGTGGTGTCTGGTATTTCGGCCCCAGCAATGAGAACAATTACCAACAAACCATTTATCCACTAAACTAAAACTTACTATGTTTTAGTTGTTAACAAAGATCTTTAGGGGCCGGGGAGATGGCTCAGTGGAATAAGCACTTGTTTAGCAATCTCAGAATGATAGCATTTCTAATTTATAAAAAGAAAAATATGTATTAAGCTATTTCTGCTACACAAGTTTTAAGCATGATTTTTTAATCAATTTTTAGCCCAAAATCATATCACGACCACAAGGGTGGCTTCTTAATCTAAGTACTCAAGTAAATCCACTTAAGAATTTAGAAATGTTCACTTAAAGTGATTAACTCCTTAAATGGGAGTGAAAAATACAAACTTTGTAATTAACTTTAAATGTGAAGTAATTTACAGAAAATCATTTTTAAGAGTTCACATTATCTAGGTCAGTACCTGGCATAGATTAGACTACCTAATAAAACCCGTGTGGAGTAGCTGGGCCTTAATTAAAGACATGTCTTCTTTTTTTTTTTTTTGTGGAATCGGGGATTGAACTCAGACCCTTGCGCTTATTCTACTGAGCC